CGACGAACGGCACTTCCACACGACAGTGTTCCTGATAACAGCGACAGTGCATTCGACTCGATGTACAAATGAACCCGATTCAAACAGCAAGCACTCCATGTATATGGTTGAGGTATGGCTAGATGAGAACACGAAATGAGCCAGAAATGATCGTTGGACTCTCCTCTGCTATGTCAGTAATGCTTACAGATCCCCTCTTAATATCTTTACAGGACTCTAGTGCCCGTAGAATAGATTCTAGATTGGTAGACACTCTGGTCAATAGGTGCTGACTTTGACTACTGTCCACAGTCTGTTCTCCGTTCAGCCTGCATCACGTATATTTTGGAGACTGGCTTCTGTCTGCAGCGCGAGCTGGTCATATGACGAGTTTTAGACGGATTTCTGTACAACTTGCGAGCACCGTAGTCGTTCAGGAACACGCATGGATAAACCTATGTTTGACCTCTTGTCCCCGTTTATGAACACTGCAATATCAGCGGTCAGGCTACTTGTTTTTCAGCGTGTTTAACCTCTCTGAAATGCGTGAATGCTAAAATCCAGGCCTTGTAAGCAGAACCCATTTAGAGGCAAACTGTTCTATTGTAGTTATTTTTTGAACACTCGACATTTATCCAAAAATAAGCACAGGCACAGGACATGGGTGTTTTACAATGAGGGTTTACTGGATATTAGAAAGAGTACATTAACGTGTTTTATCTGGTGCAAAAGGATCAAATCCTTCATCAGAACCCACTCGCCTACTAATGAACCCGACATCATGTACATATCTAACGGACTGATTGTCAATAAAATAAACATGATGTGGTAAGGCGCCCGCCTCCAAACCCTCAGCTCCACCCAAAACACCCACCTAAAATCATGAGACGACAGAATATCGGCGAAACACGCGTCTGGGCTTGTACCTGTGCTGCCAAGTACAGTATATCGAGCTATCTATGAATATACAACTGCTTGTCTGTTGGCAATTTATGAATATTACGCGGTTACTCCACTGTGGCTGATCGGCTTCAGCCCAACTATTCATACCAAATTTTAGTCTGAGCCTATAAGCCTCATATAGACTGATTTACTCCAAGTTAGCAATTAATTTCTGCGGTAATTAAAAAGCTGCAGTTCCAAAGCTGTAGCACCTACCAGAAAAGCACACGGAGAATCCGCTGATGAGTTGAAACCCCTCTGCAGCTGTGTCATGCAACGACAGAATACCAGCGAAACATGTGTCTGGGCTTTTAGCTGGCACATGCGCTGCCGACTGTTACCGTACGCGAAGGTGTAGCATAGGAGACGCCAAAGGTGTCTGTTAGTTCAGGCACGACTGCAGTGCTAAGAGGCACTTATAAACAGTACACTGACAGTCCTCGCCGAAAGCACTCATGGGCCTGGTGGTTACCTCTGCTTATCCTAACACCCAGTTCTCATCCGCGGCTTCACTAAGTTCCGCTCATCGCGGAGGCCACACCCCAATCACTGGCCTTGAGCGGCGGGCTAAACTAAATCAGAATGACCGAAGTGTGTGTCTCCACATCTGGTAGTCCCTGAACTCACCCCATCATCCCAACCTCCCCACCCGCAAAAAAAATGTTCTACGGAGGGGACGACATGTAATCTCGCAAGTGGCCCAGACTAATTTGGAGTGGAGTCCTCCTCTAAACCGTTGCCTTTGGTGGTTATCTGAGATGACAAAAGAGTCCTACTTGGGGGCAGTACTGTCTGCCCTTCCCCCCCCCTCGCGCGGGGGTGGAAGACCAGAAATAGTGCCCCAAAATGTTGGTAAATCCTATCGTCGGCAAGCTAACTAAGACTCATGGACGCAAAACACGCGGTCAAAACAATACGAGGAACAACCATTCCCGTCTCTATCCCCATACCTCCTACAGGCTGCTAGAATTAGCCGGGAATTTTCGTTCACTTCTAGACAATAAAATTGCAAACCGACCGGAAATGAGGACAGATCTGGCCGATCGTGAACTGGCTTGCTACAAAGTGGACATTGCGGTTAAGTGAAAGCGAAAGTGACAGGTCTTCCGAGCGGATTTACAGGGGACCAGTGCACAGTAATTCATCCGAAAGGTTGATAATTATGGAAGAAAATTCGACAGGGAAAATAGAGACCGGGATGGCTATTTCTGGCCCATTATCCGTTGTCAGCCGTCTGTACCCCAAACTCCGGCTTGGATATTCGAGGTTTCCAACCCAACCGCTTTGCTCATTGAGCATTAAGTTAATTGTTCCATCCTAAAGCAACGGTTTCGCTACCCTGTCAGCTGAAATTGGGAATACGATTCAGCGTGGCAGATGCTTTCATCGCAGCAGCCCTTGTACACACAAAAAAACTAGAGCTGAAGGCCCAGTAAGTCACTCTCGTGCGAGCTTATGAAAGCGTAATCTCAACTAATTCAGTTTTCGCGCCTAGACAACCATTTCTAGTTAAATAAATGTCCTGTGGCCTTAAACGGCATTCGATGGTGGCAAAAGTGGTTTTAGTTAAACTTCAGACATTTGTCTGCAACTTACTGCCTATATCTGCACGCTTTAGTCACATGAATGATGGGGACTTTATGCTGTCGGCTCGGAGTTTCATTCTTCTGCCCCGTGGCCCCTCTTCATGAATATTTAAAAAGCGGCACCTCAAAACCTCGCCAATTATCGGGAGATTGTAGACACCTCACAGGTTGAATGTCCAGGCTACGTATGTCATCAAGGCCACCAATTGCCATTGGATGAACAGTTTCAAGCGCCGCAACAAAATCTGATTCTGGAAGTAAATTAGTTTACCAACCAACGCCGGCTGACAGCTTTATTTCTATGCGCCACCCATGCCGTCAGCAGCTCCTGTGGTGGGAGACGGTGGTCGTCCTCTCTCTCAAATCCACAGGTTGTTATCATTACCTTATTTTCTAATGAACCACTGTCAAACTCAGACCGAGGGTGCGGGGGTGCAGACAAAGGACACCCAGTGTTCGAGTGCGCCAAATATAAACCAGACTGACCTCAGTCCACATCCGCGATTGGCTGCAGATTGGTCAGCTGTAAAAACGATCATTTTAAGGCAGTGTGACCACTTCATAGAGCAGACTGATTGTAGCGGCGGCCAGCAGCGATGACCGTGTCGGAGGGCGTATTATGTGCCCTGTTGGGTCTACTCACCTATGTTTCTGGCCAGCCAAAAGGTTGTAGCTCCATTCCAACACTGGCACGCATGGACTGCCACCCGGAGCCAGCAGCAACCGAGGCAAATTGCCTGTCACGGGGTTGTTGCTGGGAGAGGCCCAGCAATCCAGACGTCAATGCTTGCTACTTCCCGACCGGGTACCCTGCCTACTCTGTGCGAAACACCTCCTCAGAACCCGGACACTATACCTTCTACCTGCGGAAGCAGGCTCCCAGCATTCATATCGCCAATGAACTTAGCGAGCTGAGGGTAGATTTTATCTACGAGACAGCCAAACGCCTGCGTTTGCGAATAACTGATCCAAACGAGGACCGGTGGGAGCCTCCTGTTGATATCGACCCACCAACAAACTTCCCTCCGTGGGCTGTTGACTACCGGGTGAGCTACGACCCCAAGAGATTTGGTTTCAGAGTTTATAGGAAAGCCGGAGTGAGCGGAGAAGACAAACTGCTAATCGACTCAACGGGTCTCCTTGCCAGCAGTCTGTTGGCGAGCAACAAATTCTGGCAGATTGCCTTTAGAGTTGATGCTCAACGCGGATTCGGGCCAGGCGAAAGGAGAAGCGAATTTCCTCTTCGCTTACAGGCCTGGGAGAGGATTGCTCTGTGGGCTAGAGACCAGCCACCAGGGGAACATGCTAACCTTTATGGTGTGCATAATTTCTTTCTCGGTTTGGCCGTCGATGGGACTGCCTTTGGCATCTTCTTGCTTAATTCGAACGCCCAGGAGGTTGTATTCCAGCCCATGCCATCAATCACTTACCGAACGATCGGTGGGATCCTTGACTTCTTCATTTTCGTGGGCCCACAACCACAAGATGTCATCTCGCAGTACCTGGATCTCATCGGACGTCCCCCATTGCCGCCCTACTGGGCTCTCGGATTCCATCTCTGCCGCTATGGCTTCCGCGACCTGGAAGACATGGAGGCGACAGTGTCCAGGAACAGAGACGCCCGTGTGCCGCTGGAGGTCATCTGGGCTGATATCGACTTTATGGACAGGTACAAAGACTGGACCACAGATCCCGTGAGATTTGCAAACTTTGGAAAGTTTATAGGGGAAACGATTCATAGGCAGAACGACATGCGTGCTGTGCTCATATTCGATGCGGCCATTCATGTGAGTCCGGACCCCAACTATGAGATCTACTGGGACGGCCTACGTCGGGGTGTTTACATTAATGACAGCCGAACTGGCCGACCAATCCAGGGGCGTGTGTGGCCAGGCATCGCGGTTTATCCAGACTACGCTAAGCAGGAAACAGTTAACTGGGTCTACGACGGTGTCTCCAAGTTCCATCGCGATGTTCCTTTCGATGGGCTCTGGATCGACATGAATGAACCCTCAAGTTTTGATGACGGTTCCATCGGCGGTTGCGTCTGGGATAATCAACTGGACCACCCACCCTACCAGCCGAGAATCCTCGGAGATTTTCTGTACTCCAAAACTATCTGTCCCTCCGCCCAGCATGAGAACGGAACCCACTTTGACCTACATAACCTGTATGGCTACATGCATGCTAGGGCAACAAGGACGGTCCTCCAACGCTTGATGCCTGGACAGCGTCCGTTCGTGCTTAGCCGGTCAACATTTGCTGGCTCCGGCCGATATACCTTCCACTGGACAGGCGATAACTTCGCCAGTTGGGCGGACCTCGCCGCCTCCATTCCGCAAATGCTCAACTTCAATATTTTTGGAATTCCCATGGTAGGGGCGGATATTTGCGGCTTTAATGGGAACACGACGGAGGAACTGTGTATCAGATGGAGCCAGCTGGGTGCTTTTTACCCCTTCTCAAGGAATCATAACGCCGAGAACGCTAATGATCAGGATCCTGCCAGTTGGAGCGGTGACACCGTGGACATCATTCGTAAGGCTATTGAGACCCGCTATCGCCTGATACCCTATCTCTATACCCTCTTCTACAGAGCTAAATTAGATGGCAGTACTGTTGCGCGTGCCTTAGCCCTCGAGTACCCGCATGACCTGACCTGCCATTCCATTGACAAGCAGTTTCTCTGGGGTTCCTGTCTTCTAATCACGCCCGTATTACTGGAGGGCGCAAGGGGAGTCTACGGCTACTTGCCGGAAGGAGAGTGGATCGGGCTGAATGATCATGTACGATACCAGAGCAAAGGAGAGTGGTTCTATTTCCAGGCAACGCTAGAGCAGATCCCTCTGCATGTGAAGGCCGGCTGCGCACTGCCACTGCATGTTTCCGCTCAGACGATCAACCAGGCGCGCGAACACGGAATTGGTGTATTGGCTGTCCTTGAGGAGGAGGATAATGGCTCTGTGACGAACAGTTCTGCGACCGCCGCATGGGGTGAGCTCTTCTGGGACGATGGTATCAGCGAGACCCAGGCTTATAGCCATGTTACCTTCACTGTGGCTGACAGAAAGTTAACCATACAGCCGAGGGTGGTTCGATCGCAGCCCGGAGACAAACTCCTGCACCCAGAAATACCGTTGGCCTTCATCAAGATTATCGGCATTTCTAAGCGACCGAAAGCAGTATACTTCAACTCGGAATCTTGCATGTTCTCTCATGACGCCAACACACGAGCACTGCTTGTCGATGGTCATTCGGAAGGCCGCTTGATTACGACAGTCCAGCTTTCCTGGGCTTTTTGATTTTAACTTCATTTAAGAGACATTTCATCGGCAGTCAGACAATCTTCTATAGCATGATTATTTTCGTCTCAGTGTGCAGCCCAGGAAGAGCATGATTTTTTGCCAAGTCCGTCAGCTCTCTGAAATCTTAACTTTACGGATAAATAAAAGTCCTCATTTATTATGTAACTCGGGAATAAAAAGGTGTCTAATTGCAATTTCACTATCTGACCCTTTTTTCGTTATCCCCTTGCAGTTGACTTTAATACCTACCCTGGGACTGGAATCAATAGCGACCGGAATTTGTAAACCAGTGACAACGGGAAAAAATGTGAAGGAGCTGTCGTCCAGCCACCAGTAAATAATCTAGTAGATGCAGCGGCCTATTAAGTTGACCTATAGGCAATGCACCAGGGACTGGAGTGAAAGCTAAAATTGGAGTGAGCTGCACTGTCCCCTAGCTGGGAATATGCATCTCTGCAAGATGGCTGAGTCCCTAAACGTGCTGCCCGACTGTTGTGTGAGAAAAAGGCCCCTCAGTTGAGGACTGATTCGAGCGGAGTTACGAGTCAGCACATAAATATAAACAAGTTCACGTGCCAGTCACCATCGCGGACCTCCTGGGGACAGTGACGGACCGCGTCGCTTGCAACGAACCACCAGTAGGACGCCCGAAACGAGCAGTGAGGAGCGAGAATGAAACATGTCCGGAGGCAGGAAACCAGTTGGAAGGGCCAGAAGGAGAAGTAACCATGAGCTCAAAGAGGAAATAGTCATTATAGTCAAGTTGATCCACCAGCATGCACTTTTTCGGGATGGGTGACAGTTCCGCAGGCCTCCTCGGGCAGGTCATCTCCATTATCTATTCACAAGTGTTCCCCCTTTGACCGAGCTGTCATCTGCCAAATATCGGGCCTTAGTCGGGCCAAGCGGCGAAGGGGCAGTCGTCTGAGGACAAAGCGCATTGATTTAAAGGACTCATGCTTTTCACATTGGGGAATTTCTCGTGCAGCCGGGGCTCAAATCCCTACACTTGACAAAAATATTTGCGGATGCTCGGTTCCCTAAGTAAACTTTGGAAAGTAAAGTAGACACAGGGATCGGACTTTGGGGTTGCGCCTAACTCCTGCATCTTCAGTAGACGTCCTCCTAAGAAGGGCGTGGTGAACTCTGGAAGGCTTACTCATGGCACTAATTGTCGATTGCAATCCTAGCTGGGATTAGCATCTCTGGTAGGGGGAGGGGGGTGAGGGGGCGCTCACCGATCGTTTTTACGGAACTCACTCGCTCCGTTGTGCCTTACGGGCTCTCTCTCTCTCGAGCCCAACCAGCAGCTGCACAGCGGCGCATGATATAGGCAGAGTGTTATTGCCGACCAAGACAAAGGAGACTGTCTTGTCTTTGTCGGTAATAACATTCTACCTATTCGAATCTCTGCTGAGCAGGTGGTTTTTACATTTAGACTGCGGTGACCTGTTGAAGACCAGAGAAAGAACAGGACGTCCTTCTCTGACCCATCAACGGGCAGATGTGTACAAAAGGCAGCTTGTTAAACTTAAATGGTGTTTTAATGTATAAGTCGCGAGTGTCCAGTTTACCCCTCACATGAGGATATGTCTGCTACCAGGCCACGGAGCGCTGAGGTCCAGAAAATCTACTGTCCCGTATACCACGGCAAAGTCCGATAATAACATCCTGGCATGGCACCCGTCAGCATCCAGACCTACACCCTTCGCTCTTGTCATCAGAAGTGGGAATATGTGAAATCCCCTTGATCCGGGTATCAAAATCCTGACGAAGAGCAGTCTTTCCGGATATTTGCTATCTGTCTGAAGTCAAAAAGCAGACGCTGGCTTTCTTGAAATAAAAAAAAATTAGGATGCACTTGCGTTCGTACCATCAGGACAGCAGTTCATGCAAATTTATTTGCAGACACGGCCTCGGGGAATGAGAGGAAATGGTGCTGCATGCGGACACTCTACCTGCAGCAGCCTTTTTGTCTACGCCGTAACCTCGTGTATGGAAAAGTGCGGTTTCTTTCCGATAAAGGACATACGATCACCGGAACTGCCAGTGTTTTGCCTGAGCTTCCGGACCCGTACATGAGTCCATATTCAGAGATCATGAAATAACAAAAGCCCATGGACAGTTGCAAAGGGAGGTGTCGCGTGTCCGTGGTTGGAGCTGGTGTCACGCTGACTGGCCATGTGCGTCCTTGGATGGGAATTGGGCCGCGCCGACTGGTCCTGTACTTAGTAAAGATATGATTTTGCCTGGCCTAGTCGGCCATGATGACGTCGCGAACTGTACCTCTCTAAGCGCGACGACCTGTCGCGGCAGGTCTAAAGAGATCGGCTTATTCTTGCCCCCAAAAACGGAGACCAGATACCGAAGGTTCTTGGTGAGTCAGGTTTTGAGCTGCTCTCCCCTTCCGATGTCTTCAGGTGGGCGACGGCTCCGGATCGGAGGTAACAATACTTAGCTCATGAGACAGACGACAAACGCGCCAAAACGACCTCGGTTCTCTTCCTTGGATGGCTTGAGATATCCTTGTGATGCTGTCGCAGCGAGTGCAGACTGCTCCATTGGGAACCAGATCAGTGTACTTCACTATAAGGATAATTTTCAGACATCTCCAACCTTCACTCATATTCCGAAAACATAACCCAGCATTCAGAACCGTCCCGGAAGCCTGACTAGACGGATATCCCACTTTTCCGATATAAAAATTCATCTGCTCATTCGCAATAAAACTTCCTCTGTCATTAGAGGTAAACAGAGCACTCAAGGTTCTTGAGAAATTCTAAAAACCACAATCGCTGCCGTCTAGGATGATAATCTCTTGCTTCAGATGGGAATCTCTGCCACAGTGGAGCAGAATGGCCGACCAGTAGCGTCCTTTTCGCGTAGTCTATCCCCAAATGAGCGACACCTTTCTGCTGTCCAAAGAAGGGCTTAAGCCGTGGCAGAGCCCACACGCAAATGGAAACACCTCCTCCTCTGTAACCATTTTAAACTCACAACATATAAGCGTTCTGTTGACTTTATCTAGTGTAATCAACAAAAGGAGAAAGTGAAGAATGACAACACCCAATGCTGGATGTCGGAGCTGTCGCCATTCAAACTTCACATTGTTTACCGGCCTAGCAAAGGAAACTGCGCGACGGATATGCTTTCTCGTAGTTGATGTAGGGCCTTGATAATAAGTGTCGACCTGAAAGAACTACAAGAGTCACTTTTTCATCCTTTGTCAGCTATTGCACTTTGTTTGAGCCCGCAATCTCTCTCTTCCGACGAAAAAGATCTGTAATGTTGTCGCCAAGTGTCAAACCTGCTGTGAAGTCAAACTCTGTTTTTCCTCTCTACACAAGGCCAAATTATCAAAGCTACCCAACCGCTCCAACTATAGTTAATCGACATCAAAGGTCCACTTTCGTTGGTAACCCATGATCACTATCTGTTGGCGATTATTTATTAGCATCCATGTTCTCCATTAGCATTTGGCTGTCTTGATCATACTGTGGAAACCGTCATTAGATGCTTAGGCGGGCTCTTCTCTATATTGAGTACTCCTTCGCACATCCACATCGACCAGTGATCGTAGTTGAAGAACGGCATCTAGAAATTCCTCCGCGATAGGGGGATGGAGTTTAGTTGGACAACTTCGCACAACCCCAGGGAAACGGGCAGGTCGAGCGTTTGAACAAAACTTTGTGGAGGAATTCTACATCCTCTAAAATATCAAAGTTCGCCTATCGCGCACATGGAGCCCGTCCGACTCGACGCTTTGCACTTATTCAGATCGCTTTTGCGTGTTGTTTATAACGCGAAATCACACAAAAGAATGTTCATCGGAGGTTATCCACTGAGTCCACTATGTGGCTCACCTCTCATGAACGAGTTCCGTTGAAGAGCGGTCAACAACTTAAATATGGGCCGCTCGTTGAGCACGTCGACCAAGTCCAGTGCAACCCCAATATGTTCACATACGACTCGTCAGTGGCAGAGTAAAAACTGCATCCGTTCGACTGTTTGTTCCCTGAGAGGGGAAACATATGGATTATTGTCATCAGGCGGCAGCAACAACCTTAGTCGAGAATTCTATTCCGTCTTCCCTGAACCACTTAACAATGAGCAGTAATGCGACAAGTAGGATGCTATATTATCCCTGAGTGCCCATAGCGATGACGATGTCCGTCTGAATAACCTGAGAACCTCTGTCAAACAAAAACGATGCGTTCATCCACACTGCACTCGCAGCAGAGGCTGCTAAGGTCTGTCCCATGCAAACTACTCCACCAGATTTGTCGACATCTTAACCCCTCTATTCGTTGGCCGGGGAGAACGTCGTGCTAACATATTGCCCTGGCCAAATTCTACTTCATTAACTAATGCTTTGTTTCTCGTTTTGATTCCAATACACCAATTCAAAAGCTAATAAGGCCCAATTCTAGGGCACTCCTTCATTCTGATCCTTCGGACGTATTTTGTTCGTCCTATCTCACTCACGTGCTTGTGGCCACTCTAGTTACAACTGAATTACTTTGAGGTACAACATGAAAAGCATGTCCCTCGTAAAAGTTATTTCGGATACATAAAAAGTTGGACACTAGAACCCAGGCAAAAAGGTCTACGCAAAACTAGTCGGTTGGAAAATAAAAAGTAACATTTATGGGGAAAAACGGCAGGCCATTTCGCTCTTAATACACTCCATAGTGAGATATTGTGGAGGTATAAAAAAACTGCATCTGCCAGAAAAATATTTTTTTGAAAAAAAAACATATTTACAGTAAAGAACGTGGGATAGTGAGGCAGATAAAAAGCCCGGGTCAGTATTGTAAATGCCAAAATAAATTTAACCAAGTGTTTATTCGTCGATGGGGTCGTCACACCTCCAAGAATCCTCCACTATTTCCCGAACACGCAGTTCATATTCCCGCATATTTTCCTCATATAATTCTGCGGCCACAGTATTCGCGGGGGAGTTTGGGTTCGGATCGCCCAGAAGTGACTGTAGTGAG